TCCAGTTCAGCATCAGTTAATTAAAGGCCATTAGTCCATTGCGTGGATCCCACATGGCCGTGAGCCACGTGGGTGCAGGGGAGTGCACCCCTGTAACAGGAGACACAGGCGCGCAGGCGAGCTGGACAGGCAAGAGCCAAGAGAGGCAAAAGAGGGAGGACCTCCCTTTGTCCAGAAGTTCGAATATTCAGGTTTCACACCCCTGCAGTGGCCACACCTATTCCGACCAATTACCTGTTTCCAGGTGTGACTGACCGACAGGTAGGCACCTTCCCAAGTCACTCAGACCTCACTGGACATGTGTCCAAGCTGCCTTTGTCCAGTCCCTGGCCCGTGGAGAGCGGGGAACAGTCCTGGAGAGGGTTAAATGCAGCCTTTTGGCAAAGCTGGATAAATGGCATGCCTATATTATCTAGTCTTCCCTTTACCCCTTTCCTATAAAATAATAACCAGATCGTTACAATGGTATCCATACCACTCCACGTTCCTGAAGTCCTGTGCTTTACCTTGCTTTCAAGGGGGCAGATGATGCTTCCACCGCCTTTTTGGCCTGACTTCTAGGAAGCTCATACTACATCATGTTCTCAACCAACACGATTAACACCTGTCATTAGCACTTTCTCATTAGCCTCAACTTTCTTTTATTAGTTAACTTTGTTGCGTCTCTATTATATATACATTTTTTCCAGTTCTCCATTCCATCCACCCACAAAAAAAGAAAAGGCATGCAGATTTTATATTCTCCTAGTCAAATTTTTCTTGGAAATCACGTTTAAATACGTCTGATAAATGTGGAAAGAGAATTACCACCTAGATATGCGAACTTGTAAAGCACAGACTCCCTAAACTGCAAGCCCCGTCTCACTAGGCGTGAGGTGACCGCCTTTTTTAAAAAGTCTCCCCCGTGGAATTCAGAGCTAAACACACTCATATCTCACTGGAGGACATCACACTTACTCTTATTAGCTATTTCAAGCTCAAAAATTATGAAGTCATCCAAAAATAAGAGCAGGATTGTGTCAGCATGGACATATGGCCTTTCTAGTCTAAAGCGAGAGGCAGGTACTGGTCCTGAACCATAATTTACAAGTTGACTCCTCTCCAACTCCGTCACTCCTGAGCTGCCCCTCTGCCTGCCGCTTTCTCCCCACTCACTGAAAAGCAAATGAGTTTAAGCTGGACACAGCCAGCCACCACTACCAGGGAAAAAAAAACGAGACCCTGACATTTGATATCCGCACTGACAACCCCTAAACGTTTTTTAAGCATTTTCTGCTCTTTCCTGACAGCTCGTGGGGCCACAGCCCCAGAGGGTTTTTGAGAACATCTACAGTATTTTTCTAAGAGGGCAGCTGGCAGAAAGTGGGAAAATGCATTGACATGCTAATGACGTCCTATTTAAAATTCTAGCCCTGATTATTCTGTGATTAAATCTCTCCCCTTGACGTCTGCTTCCTTTATATCTGAGTTACAGTGAGAAATCAACAATATTAATAAAGTACAATACAGATTACCAACAAGCGATGGAAAAGCAGTCGTGTAAATCTCAGGGTTGTCTTTTTTTCTGAAAAGCACATGTAGCAAACTAAAAATGTTACTGGCTTTTTTCATCCCACTCTCCCTTACAAAAAGGTTGGAATCCACAATAATTAAAGGTTCGCAGGTAATTTCCCTAAGGATCCAGGGGCTGGAAGATAGATTTAGCTTTTCGTTCTATTTCACCTCACCTAAAATTGCTCAGAATTCAAAGGTGTCCTCCTGAAGTCTTGAGAACAGCTGGCAGGGACTAAAGCACATCCTTTCTCCCCTCTTCAGAGGGACGGGTGTCACTGTGGCAGGGTCAATGGATTCAGAGCGGATTCCTGTCTCTCTGTGCCCACGAGCACTTTGGCACAGTCAGTCCCTTTTCAACACACTGTTCTGTCTGCTGACATCTAAGTCTGAATATCTGCCTCGGACGACTCGAGCAACTTCCACAAAAGACCATCAGACTTATCACTGCTCTCATTAAATTAGAAAATGAATTTTTAAATTTTTTTAAAATCAAGATCCCAGCCCGGCCAGTGTGGTTCAGTGGTTGAGCATCAACCCATGAACCAGTAGGTCACGGGTTCGATTCCCTGTCAGGGCACATGCCCGGGTTACGGGCTTGATCCCCAGTGGAGGGCACGCAGGAGGCAGCCGATCAATGTTTCTCTCTCATTGATGTTTCTATCTATTCCTCTCCCTTCCTCTCTCTCTCTAAAATCAATAAAAATAAAATAAAAAAGAAAGTTCAAACCCTTAGAAAAAAAGAATATCCAAGGCGTGGGTCTGTAATGAAAAATAAAGGAATATCTGGCCCCAGGAAACAAACAAATATTGATGGTATGTTGGCTGTTTCTAAAGACACAGTGCTGGAGACCGCGATGACACAAATGAAACATAAGAACAGAGCTTTGACCTCAATGGACTTTCAATCCAGCCAGAGACTCAAGACCTATATATTGTCAGTGACCCGAAAGCAAGGTCCTCGGGGATAGATGAGTCGTTGCAGGTGCACTCCTGTCACTAAGGCCACCTCCTTTGCACCCGAGTTACACCACAAAATCCCCAGAGCGCGAATCACCCCTCTGCTATGGAAACAGGAGCCCTAGCAGGACTTGGACATCATGAAACTGTCAGCCGTCTTGGACCAAACATCACATGTCAGGGGGCGCAGGTGAACAGAACAGAAGAGTCTGGGGCCCTGACCGTCCTGGAGCTGCTCGTCCAGCCCTGAACTGCCTTTTTCTCCTGAAAGCCGCACCCTGCAACCATTGCCGGGAGTCAAAATCGGTTTTCAAGCACGCCACCCACAGCTCGTTTCTTAAACAGTCTTACTTTAAAATGTTTCAGCAAATATTAGAAAGAGCCAGCTCATGGCACACACGTGCACATGCATATATTCCTTTGCATTTGCTCTGCACTCAAACCCGAGCACAGAGCTCCCTCTGAATTTTTAACTCTCAAAACCCAACAAACGACAGCCTAGTCTGACTTCATTTCAACGGACAAAAGCTTTAACTTACTAAGGAATTCGTTACTCATTTATTTTCTTTGTCCCCCATACTCTCATCAACCCAAGATTATTAATGTGGTTCACCCGCAGCCAAGTCACATCAGATCGGTTAAAAACCAGCTTCAGGCTACAGCACGGGGGGAGGGCAGCTGATCCAGCAAATTCCAAGTACGAGACACAGGACGCCCTCGCCGCAGTAATGAGCCATCTGCAATTTAGAATCCAGGCTAACAATCTCTCGTTCCATTTGTTTATGTTTTATTCATCATTTTCAAAATACTCAGCGAAGTGACAACGCTGACACTCGGGAGGTACCGCACGGCTCCTTTTTTAAAGAGAGACTGATGGCTTTCAAGAGCTCGACTGTTCCGTGGAAACGCCGATGTACTGAATTTGTCCCAATTTGCCAACATCTTTATTCTCAGATATACTACACTCCCCATTTTGTGCCAAAAACTGTGTAGTGATGATATGAGACATTCCTTAGTTTTCATTGTTTACCCAATTTTTAAAAGTCGATAGCAAAAATTCATTTGAACTATACAGTGCTCATTCCTACAGTAGCTGAAACCACGCTGTTACATGTTGGGGAGCGCACTGTCCTCCCTCGGGGCGACAGTTATATACCAAGGCTCAGGTGTACAGTCTCCGTGACATACTTAGCTTGGGGGAAAAGTGGG